AGGATGTGTTTAACAGTAGACATAGCTCCTCTCCCCTTCTTTTCTCTGTGTTGACACATCCAAAAGGCTGAAAGACTTGAACAAAGTAGATCAAAGAAACCAGAATGGCTTAAGGACACTGACAAATCTGTGAAAATCATCCTCTTGATGAACACTAGACTGTTCTGAAAGAAAGATATAGCAAGAAAATATACCTTGCTACCATATCTCTCTGACAAGAAGGGCAGTCTGAAGACTCCAGGGTTAAAGAAAGCTAAGACATTTAACTTTCTAGAAACTCCAAAGGGGGCTGGAAACAGAAATCACAGCTCTGCATTCATAGTAGAAACAGCTTCAGTATTCTTGACCATCTAGCTGGAAGGTCTTACTTTCACCTTAAAAGTATCCAGTACATTTTTCGGAACCCTGCTAGGATCCTTTGGAAAGATACTTATGTGATTTTTTTTTAAAAAAAAAAATCAAATAGCTCCTATGCAGCTGTATCTGGGACCTGATACCAGATCACATTGACATTTCTTCAAAAAGGGACAAAAAATTATTTACTATGTTAGGGGATAAAAAAGAAAGGAGGTAGACACTCTCCTGTTGAATCTCCACTGGCTTCAGAGAAAATGGCAAGACTGCCATTCTCTGCTCTGGTTCAATTTGTTGAGAATAATTACATTCTCTTCCCTAGCGTAATTTTGGAGGCAAACGGAAGAAAGGTAACTCTTCTTCAAAAACCCAAAACATTTAGAGTCTTGATTATATAAATGCCATTCAGAAAGTCTTCTACCATTTTGCCCCTTCTCCACAAAGCAAAACATTTTCAAGTTGAAAATGCAGGAATGTCAACATAGGTCACTCAGGCTGCAGGTCGCCCACAGCTTTTGGGACACACTGCCTGGGCTAAACTCTACACCCAATTCACATTATGCTCAACTTGGGCTTTTTAGAAACACAGTAACATTTTTTAAATAAGAAATTATTTACATTATCCTCTTAACTCATTGCCCTCTACCAGTAAACCTATGGCACATCCACTCCTAAGTGGGGTAATAATAAAAAACAAGCCCAAAAATCGAAACAAAAAAAACCCAAACCATAACCGCCCATACTTTACCACAAATATGCCAAGCATAAGGCAAATTTGGGTTCTGAATCTGTTATCAAGTAATATTTCACGAAGTCAAGAGATAAAAGTTTGTCCCAAGAAGAAAGAAGGAACAGATGCAGCTTGCAGTCTGGCACAGTGTACAGCACATGACAAAGTCTGGAAAGCAAAGCCTGTATCTCCCTTTTTACCTCACCAAGACAAAATGTACAAATAGCTATAATCCCCTCCCCATTTTGGGGCCAATAAAACAACTGTTAATGCATATGGTATTATAAAATGTTTAAAAGTAAAATGCACCCATTTGGCTTTCCCTAGAATTCTGAATTTTTGGACTTGGTGCCAAATCATCTATGTAATTTCTCAGTTCAGTCATATTAAGAGATGCTTCCTACCTTCTGAAATATCACTCTACTGCTCCAATTGAATAAATTTATTTCTCTCCCACCCAGTCCCCAACTAACATGAAACAGATGGAATATACATTACACTAGAAGTTCTCAAAGAATTATTTTCTCCTTCAAATACCAATCATTGATTGCAGTGTGGTCCTTACAGGCACAACACATTGACTGGACTCCACTGGGAGAAAAAAAAAAAAAAAAAAAAATCGAAGTTGGGCCTATGGGGAGTCCACTACAGTTAGTGAGAATTTTATTTGCTCTTTGTGGTGGGTTTTCTTGTTACCAGAACAGATGCAATA